AAAAAAAACGTGTCTCTTTTAGACTTGCACTCTATTCATTTGCTGCTTGTTTTCTTTAAAAAAAAAAACTAACACTTGCTTTCTAATCTTTTTGTATTCTATGTTTTGTTTTTCATTTATTATACATTTAACAAAAGCAAAAAAGACCTCTAACACTAGCTTGCTCTATTATTTTTCTATTCTATCTGTTTTCTTTTTATTTATTATATTATTTAAAAAACCCTTGCTACGTGTACTGCGTTAAGCTAACTAAGACTTGTTATAGCACTTGTATATCATTGCTCTTTTGTTGATTTTGATTGCTTCCATTGTATTAATTTGTAAGTCGCTTTGGATAAAGGTGTCTGCTAAATGACTAAATGTAAATGCCGAGTATAATAAAACAGACATGAAAATAGTGAAATAGTGCCATTTCACCATTTTATGTATTAATGTATTCATTTATTTATTAGTAGGTACCTAATAATATTACACATTTAATAGAATTGTTGCGTTTACATTGCACTACAAATGCAAAACATTAAAGCATTGTTTAAAGTTATGTATTAACAGAAAATACAATGATGAAGTAGACTATGTATATATGGAACAGGCCTATGTGGAACTTATACAGTATATCACTTCCACCTAGTTGTAAATCTATAGTTTCCTCTAAAAACCCTCTTTGTGTCAATTCAAAACATATTTGTAAATAAACAATTCAATTAATGAAAAAGTTTCCTTGTTATTACTACATACGTAACCAATATATTTCACACATTATTTCACATTCAGATTAATTATTACATATTTTATTATTTCGAATTCAAATTAAATGTTGTTGATATACAGTTTATCAGCTACTGTCAATGTGTCAATGAAGATTAAAAAACTCGCTGGTGGATAATGCACAGTTTACTGGTGAGAATGAGGTCAAACACGAAGACCAAAATCTCGCGAGATTTTGCACGTCTGCTTCTCAGGCAGTCCGTGAGCGGAGTCAGTCAATGTGGGACGGAGTTTTGGCTGTTTGTTAGCGGAGTAGGAGGGAGAACGAGCCGTTGACTTGATACAGGGCTTGCGTGAAATCAGTTCGGAGAGCAAGAAAGCCAAGAATGGCGTCGGGTGAGACACTGTACATCGAAGCAGACGGCTCGGAGATGCCGGCGGAGATCGTCGAGCTGCACGAAATCGAAGTTGAGACCATCGAGACAACCGTGGTCGGCGGAGACGACGACGACGACGAGCACCAGCCGATGATCGCGCTGCAGCCGCTGGTCACAGACGATCCGAACCACGTTAACCATCAGGAGGTGATTCTGGTCCAAACTCGCGAGGAGGTCGTGGGCTGCGACGATTCGGACCTCCACGCAGACGACAGCTTCGAGGACCAGATCCTCATCCCCGTCCCTGTGGCAGAGGAGGAATATATCGAGCAGACTTTAGTGACCGTGTCTGGCAAGAACCCGTCAGGAAGGATGAAGAAAGGGGGAGGCAGCGGGAAAAGAGTGGTCAAAAAGAGCTTCCTAAACTCCGCCGAGGCGAGCGGACGCAAATGGGAGCAGAAGCAAGTGCAGATCAAAACACTGGAGGGGGAGTTTTCCGTCACTATGTGGTCATCGGGTAAGTTTTGACTCGCATCAAGTGCTTTGTTCTCGCGCAGGCCTCGCGTGGGCCCTCTTCCTCTCCAGCGTGTTATAAAGCTGCCGGATATCCCAGTGTCAGAAACGATTTTCGGACCAGAAAAGCCACTTATGAGGGTGGCCCCGGTCTAAATGTTTTTGTTTTGATGGGAAGCCATGTTTTAAGTGTGGATGGGCGCCGCCATATTCCTCCAGACCATTATGGCGGCGGCCCCGAAACATGGCGGTTCTGTGAGCGGGGAAAGATGGCGGCGGGAGCGGAGAGAGGCGCTGTGAGTCCGCCGCGCTGCTGCAGGCCGCAATGGCGCAGCTCCGTTTGAAGAAGGGGTGGGACCTAGTCACACGATCTGCTGCTTGCCTGCAAACTGTCTGTCTTACGGCGCTTCAGTCCCTCAATAAACAAATGTTACCGCGTATTTAAATCCTCTAACTGGGAAATTCAGACACATCTAGCAGATTCCTGTGCCGTGCATGGGGCGATGTTTCCCAGTTTTCAAGCAAATGCATTTTACGTAGGGATACTATTAATGCTTAACGTATTGCGCATTTTTATATGAATACATATTCAAATGTTTATAGTGAACGGCGGTCTTTGGGAAAATACAGAAATATCTATTAGCAGCTTTTGCGATCTTGAAATCTCGGCGTTTAATGGCAGTGCACATTCAGAAAGATGTCGTTCACTTTGAACTTTGAATTATTTGATAAAAGTTGTATTGTATTTGTATGTTAATACTGAAACATACAAATGTTTAAACTATGCCGCAGCCTAGCGACGTATGTTGTAAAACATACGGATATTGTAAAATATTTTGTAATATTAGTTATTGATGTTTTTATGGGTGTTGTGTATTATTTCTTAAATTCTCCGCTTTCATTTTAAGTGAGTATGGCCTGTAATCACCAAAAATGTGTGGCATTACTTGATAAACAAAGTACATGAACATGTAGTGCAGGTTGAAACCTTGTTTATATGTTTTCGAGAATGTGCACCGTGAACCACTACAGACTGCGCATGCGCTTCAGAGGATTTTTTTTTTTGTGTGAAACGCTCACATAATGCATAATGCAAAAAACAAGAAACGCGCATTCATTGCATTTTTGATGCCGAATACTTGACTGGAATTTAATTTGCACCACAATCGCGCCAGACTAGTATATATATATATATATATATATATATATATATATTAGGGCTGTCAGTCTAATTAATTACATGGTGTTTCGATGAATTAATCTAA